TTTTAGCCAGTAAACAAATAACTGTGTGGAAACACCCTCCGTACTCACCTGATCTGCCCCCAATGACTTCTTTCTTACCCGAAGATAAAGGAAATATTGAAAGGAAGACATTTTGATGACATTCAGGACATCAAGGGTAATACGACAACAGCTCTGGTGGCCATTCCAGAAAAAGAGTTCTAAAATTGCTTTGAAGGGTGGGCCAGGCACTGGCATCGGTGCATAGCTTCCCAAGGGGAGTACTTCAAAGGTGACCATAGTGATATTCAGCAATGAGGTATGTAGCACTTTTCCTGGGATGAGTTTGCGAACTTAATTGTCAGACCTCATATATGTAAAAATTCATTTACCCAGCTACATAACCAAAGAGGAATTTTCTGGCTCTGTGCTCTCAGGCTTACTTGCCACAGGTAAACAGCATTACAGTTTGGTGAAATCCTTTCAGACCTTGTTTAAGGTCTAAGTAGGGCTAAAATTGTAGCCCAGGTCAATGGACTTGTGGACAGAAAAGGGGCCACATGGTGAACCTGACGAGCTCAGGAGACTGAAAAGAACCACAGATGATGGCGTAAACATAAAAGTTCCTAACAAAGGTGGGCCATGGCAGGAAGTCACATCCTTGGCCTATAGCTTCCTTGACAAAGGTCAAGCTTTACCTTAAGCCTGTCTGTCATCTTTTTGCATCTAAGATAACACACCCTTACAATATCAGGGTAATCTCTTTTTCCAGATGCCCCAGGGGCACAACCCGCCATACCAGAGCAGGAAACTACAAAGACCCTCGTTGTTATCTGTTCCCCAAATACCATCCCTATGTGCTGTAAAATGCTATTAATTACACTGCACCCACCAATGTAAAAGAAGTGTGTGTCTCTCCCTGTTACTTTTATCCAATCCCAGAGATTTCCCCACTTTGCCTTCTCCCACCCCCTTAATCTACCACCAATGGATTTCATGGAACATTCCTCCTTTGACTTTATGTATAAAATCAGTTGCAAAACGGCCGTTTTCTGGAGCCTTTTCTCAATCCGTTGAGACTTTGCTTCCCGGCAATTGTCAGTTTGGCTCAAATAAACTCTTGTAAGTTTTCTCTTAGGCTGGATGTTTTTCGTCAACAGGCTCCAAACTGTGTTCTTTCCATGAAATGAGGTACTGTATACAAAATACTAGTAAACGCCTCAGATGTAGTAAGCTCTCGGGAAATAGCAGCTGCAGTTCTGTTTGTTTCTAGCAACACTGTTAAATTAAGAGAATTCGTTGACCAGCTAGTGAGTGTTTATTTCTCAGACGGTTTGTTCTCAACACTCCACTGGGTACCCATTCTGTCCGAGAGGTCTTGAGAAGGTCCGAAGGGTGCAGAATGGTATTTTAATGCACACGTCAATTAAGGGCGGTGCAGAGAAAAACACCACTGGGGGGATATTAGGTGTAAATTTTAATGTGTCCGGATCTGAGGGCCGCGTTGTCCTTAAAGTTTACATATTACCTCAACTCTCCAGATGTTAAAAGTGAGCATCCCCTCAAGAGCAGTAATAACTAATGTAGGAGAGCGTGGCGGCTTCTGCGTGAGCCTTTGATGTGCTGAGTGTAACTACAGGATCAGCGAGGCTGGCCCACCTCCCTGGAGGACCCAGTTTTGCAGTCGGAGAGCACGGACGACCCTCTTCAGACCAGTTTCCACTTACCGCCTCCCAGGACGAGGATCATGCTATCTTCCGAGGCTGTTCATGTTACCCTCAAACAGCTTTGGTTTCTGGAAAGTTCTGTACGCGCCCCAGACCATACTGTCATTTAAATTAACTTTGCCGGAGTAAAGCCTCACTGCGTTCAGACTTCAGACAGGGATGGCACAGGTGACTTATTATAAAAGTAGTTTCCACACTGAATTTCCAGGTACTCCATTAGACAACATGGGCAGTTCAGGCTAAACTTAGTAGCTTCTTCCAATGAAGGGTTCAGGATGGAAGGTTCCTTAACTGTCCAGAAGTGAATTCCTCCGTGGAAAGGCTGTGTTTTTGAGAGGCCGGATTGTGTAAAGTGCGCCTCTTATGAACTTTAACAAACATGACTTAATTTTACAAAATTCATCAATGAATGAATGACGACAAATTCCTACAACTTATGAGAAGTGCTTCTCAGAATTCTGGAATGCCTGAAGGCCCACCCCTCCCCAGAAATAATGCAAACTGTTGTTGAAAATACTCTTGAATTTAGCTATTTGGTGCAGTAAGCCTGGCTTTCATCTTCCAGATTGTCCTGGATTTGCAGGGGGTTAACTTGTGGTAGGAATTTCAAAAGCACGGAAATGCGGATATGCCGGAAAGGAAACCATGGGTCTGGGCACAGGCCCGGTGCTCACTTTGTGAGAATAAAGACATCCGTGTCATTTGTTGAAGGGTTCTGAGTTGGTTTTCCACGTTTTGTTTGTCGTGTCCTTGAAGGCGCTGTGTTTGGCCCCTGGCTTTGTTTTGTAACCTCTGTTTGATGGTATTTGACTTTATCAATGTTGTGCTTGCAGTGCTTGTTTTGACAGTGCCCCGTGGCCCCCGGCTGTGAGCTCAGCAAATTCATTGTTGGTCGTGCATACTGCAACCGGAGCCATCAACCCCTTGAGCGTTTTTTGGCCCAGAAGGCTAAGTTTCTGTGACCTGGATTGAAAAAGTGTGTCTGTATAAAGTTTTAACATGCTTATATATTTCCTTGAAAAAGGAGTTCTGAAATTTAATTTCTACTGAGTGTTTTTAGTGGGTGTTCTGTGGTTTTACATCGGTTTGTAATGTTTGTGCCTGGTGGGTCCAGAGATATTCGGGGTCCTAGTGTGCACGTGACTGCTGATCTCATGATCCTTGTGACTCGCTGAGAACGTAAGATGGGGACTTGTGGGCTTGTCGCCAAGCTGTCTTGCTTTCCAGGTGTCTGTTCGGTATGTAAAGTTTGGTTTCCCGGGCTCAGCTCCATGGCCCCTGCCAGACCCTAGCCACTCCCCGTGTGAGGGCTGTGCCAGTCACCACCGGGTCTGTGCTTCGGCCCCTCCCACAGACAAACTCAGAGCCTCTTTTCATTCTAAAAGGTTTGCTGCTGATCACTTCTAGAAAAACTCCAAAGGTACATTTGGCTATTTTTTTTTTTTTGAGTAGCAGTCTCAGTGCTTAAGAAAATGTTTACAGAAGCCCACAGCTTGGGAAATCTTTTATAAAATGTGTCTTTCAATTATTCAAGTCATACATGAAAATATAGTTAGTGTAAAAATATAAGTAATACTGAAGTATATCTAGTAAAACGTTTCTCTGTAGAAGTTAATTTGCTTGGCGGGAGGTGTGCACTTTAAAATTTTATTACACTAGCAAATGGGCCACATTTCCTTCCAAAAGTTTGTAAACCCCCCCTCAAAAAAAAAGTTTATACCGGGCTGGCCGAGTGGCGTTGGGTAGGAGTTGGCTTGGGACACCAGCTCTGAGCTGCAGGGCCCAGGTTCAGATCCCACATGAGGGCCAGTGACGCTGTGCCCTCTACAGCTAAGATGGTGAGCAACAGCTCGACCTGGAGCTGGGCTGCCGTGAGTCGCTGGCGACTGCGTAGGCTGCAGTGGGGCTGGGCTGTCAGCTGGCATGAGCTTTCGTGAGCGGCCAATGGCCGGCAAGTGACTGCCTCACCCGGAAAGAGCTCAATGATAATACCAACTTGGGCCAGTGAAGCAACGTCCTCCACAACTAGACTGAAGAACAAAAGGACAGCAACTTGCCTGTTCCCCTTCCCCGATTCCCCAATAAAAAATCTTTAAAAAAAAATAATTTGTACCATTGGTACCACTGGTCTCCCTACACAGTTACCAACACTGGATGCATTTTAAGTCCTTTCCACTTTGATAGGTAGAAAAAATATGGCATTTCATGTTAATTTGCATTTTTCTGACTATACTGTAGTAGAACATCTTTTCATATTTTATTGTTTGGCTCTTTTGAAATAAGTGTCAAGTTTGTAGTTTGGAATGTGTGAGGGCTCCCCAGCGTCTGACTTTTGCTGAGCAGGACCCTGTGCTTCAAGGTGGGTCCAGTAATGCTCCAGGTTGGGGTGCGTACAGGCGGGGTCCTGCAGTGCATTGTGACTGTGATTGTAATCTCAGCACGAAAAAGTAGCAATTGTAGATTGGCCCCTTAGTGGTAAAGGTCCCTTCAGTCCTGTCCTACGCTGTGCGACACCATTTGCTTGCTTGTCAATGGGCAGGAAAGCCTCAGGATGCTTTACACATTCTTTGGCCCCAGGACTGCTGCACTGGCGCGTGTCAAAGATCAGGAATGCGGGGACCAGAGCGGGAGCAGCGCTGGTTCCCAGGTGGCTGTGGGGTCTGACTTATCCCAGGGGTAGCTACCTTACTCCTTGTCTCTTGGACCCCAAACTCTTAACGTGGACACTTAGTCCCTCGCTTTTCCTCTCGGAGGTTTGGACACGGTCCACCCACCTATTTGGGCCGAGCCCAGGTCACGGTGCATCGCATACACCTGGCTGCTCGCTATTCCGGGGCTCCCCGCACCTGCAGGCCCCCATTCCCCAGGTTCCTGCCTCCCAAACACTGGAAGCCCCAGAGCTTAGGTCGGGGCTCGCTGCGCACCAACCACGGGGTAGACAATCGTGGAACCCCCTGAGGTCACCCGGGCCGGTCTGCAGGAAAGCTGCGCGTCCGGGGCTCGGGCACCGCCGGACAACTGGGACCCCAGCCTCGCCCGAGGTCGCACCGCGGTCCTGCGCGGGTGGACACTGCTCCAAGGACACGGGGTCACCGGCCTGCCCCGCGCCGCGTTTCTGGGCGACCCGCAGGGCTCGGGTCCCTTCGCGCGAGCGGGGCCCGCGGGCCGGCGCCACGACCCAGTCTCCAGCCCCGGGCGCCCCGCACCCCGAGCCGCACGGTGGCCGGCTGGGAGCATGCGCACTGCGCTCGCGCCGCGTCCCGCTGCCGTTGCCATGGGGACCGGAGCCCGGTCGCCCCTCCCCCGTGCCGTCGCCCGGCGGACATGGCCGCGCCCCACGCCCGTGGGGTGAGGGGGTCGGCCAGTGGTGGCGGGTCCAGGGGAGAGGGGGACCCGAGTGAGGGGGCGCTGGGGGTTCCCGAGGTGGAGGGTTTGGGGTGGGAGGCCCGGGGTCCC